GCACCACTGTTGCCAGTTACTAGAAGCCATTTTGCTCCTCACCCCGTATGTGAAATCGTTGAATTTCAGAGAGTCATAACAACACAACGTTAATCGAAGCTATGCCATGCGTGATCCCTGATCCCATTGATCGGTTTAATGGCGGAATTGAATCCGTTAGTAAGGGGCAAATACCAATTTGTGCAGGAGTATTCGAAGGCAATTATACGTATTTATAGCTACGTAAAGGGTGGAAATTCAAAACTTTGTAAGTGCCTGTGCCGTCGAGTGATGCCAAAATGTGCGATTGTTCCTCTCATCAAACAGGAACACAATTGGACTGCATTTTGCAATTTGGAACTATAAATTCTGGCTCATCTGAAAAACACTTACGTGCACAGGGAAACTAATGACGCATACGTTGTTTTTAAACCGGGCTAGAATTCATAGTTCCTAATTTTGTTGCCCAAATTGTTGTAATGTTGCCCAATTATTTGTGGATGAAATTATCATCATGAAAATACGACCTAAATGCATAAAACATTTTAAAATAAATCATCCGTTATTAGACATTAAGGTTCTTTGACATTAAAAAGCATCATGCACAATGTTAGCGACACCTGCTGGTGCTTACCACGTTTTGAATTTCCACTCTCCATGCATGTATGTTTGTTTTTTTGTTTCTACAGTACTTCTATTTTCAAAATTATCTGTAAAGACGTTAATAGCCTGAGTCGCTGAATGTCTTAAAATTATAATAACTAACTAACTAACTATTTATATGACTGTCTACACGGAGAAAAATGTGTTGGGGGTAATACCCTAAAATTGTGGACCGCAACTGCCAATTGTGCTGGGATTTAAATAAATTCTATAGCAGATTCCTCTAAGTTTTAAATTTTAACTGTTGAATTTTTAGTGGTATCTAATTATGAATTTATATACATTTAAAACAATTTCCACACCGAAAGAAAAGTGAAGTTGATTTAACATTCTGGATGTAAAAAAAGTGTGCGAGAACTCGCAAAATGCTAAATTACCTACTATGGCAGTCAGTTTTACATCTTGACATTGCTAAAGTAGCTGCTGTAGCAGTTAATTTCGCATTTTGTAAGTTGTCGCACACTTTTTCAACATCCAAAATGTTAAATCAACTTCACTTGTTTTTCAGTGTAACTTTTAAACTAAAGTAAAATTTATTTTTAATACTAGTAACTACTAATCCATCTAGTCTGAGTGTAATGTGTGTATCTTTTTATCGGTGTAATTGATATACTTGCGTTTAGTTATTTGACTCTTAACCATAATTAAAGAGTCGACTCTATATTCTAACTTGAATTAGAAAAATTAATATTATCTTATAAAAGTGTAGGTTCCTTTCTGTTAAACACGGTCCAATTAATACAAAATAATGATAACTATTTCTTACTGTGCGGAATCCCAACGGACTAAGCCGAGTAATCATGAAAGAAAAGAAACACGGCACCCTTGCGTGCAATTTCTGAGAATAATTCGAAAATTGAGCTCTCGCGAACATTTTTCCGCACCAGCTCGTGCACCTGGAGCATGCCTGGAAAATGTCCGATGTCTGCAAGACTGAGGAAAAGCTTCACCGTGCACCGAGATCCATAGCTCAGCGCGGTAACTGGAAGAGCACAAGCCGATCTTGATCTCTTGTAGTTCCGCGGTAGCCTCTTGGCACGGTATAATTCACGATCTTCCTATTATTTCACGACAGCGCCGAAAGAGCGCGCCACGTCCGGGCAACTCCGCGGCAATAAATATATTAATTTCGCATTTTCCGAGCGAGCGATCACGACAGCGCAGTCCGGGGAATGGCTTACATCAATAAGTCATGTACTACCTCATCGGCTCTGCCGTTCCGAGGCTGCCCCCGCTAAGTAGTCCCATCTCTATTGGCTCTAACTCCTTTAAATCGTTGACCTTGGTGCCAATTTTGCTCATATCCCAATGGAGATGTTGCATGTGTAATGAATTTGCAATTTGACTGTTGAATATTATGTAAAAGTTTGCGAGAAACACGATGGTGCCACTGGTTTTCTCTGAAATTGACTCCCAAGCTCAAAAAAAGCTCTCAAGTTGAGGCCAAAATGGAGGGGATATACCACGCTATCCTGAGAGTCCACCTCTACATCAAAGCTAACTCTCCATGCAAAGAAAGGGAGCAAGCACATTAGCAGGGTTGCCGTGTTTTCAGTTTTGAAGTCCCCAAATAAAGTGGCAGCCCTGTCAATGTATTTACTCCCTATCTTTGCATGGAGAGTTTGTTTTGATGTAGAGGTGGACTCTCAGGATAGCGTGGGATATCCCCTCCATTTTGGCCTCAACTTGAGAGCTTTTTTGAGCTTGGGAGTTGATTTTCAGAGAAAACCAGTGGCACTATCGTGTTTCTCGCGAACTTTAACTTAAGAATCAACAGTCAAATCGCAAATTCCTCACACATGCAACATCTCCATTGCCTCACCGAAAAAAATAGTTATGTTCATAGGGCTCCTGCACTTTCTTTGATACAGATAGTAGGCTCCATGTTCCACGAGGATTGAGTTTGGATAGCATTGGTGATACTCCAATACACAAGCCACTAGCAAGTCGCAACTTCTGTGTGACATTTTGAGCAAAAATTATCCAGCAGCAGGACACTCTCTTTACCCCCAGCTTTCTCTGACCAAAAATTTTACTGAGCTACCAAATCGGTACGTCTGGCCCATCTAAAAAATGGCTAACCGAAAGTAACCGTAGATACGGGCATTCCTATTAAGTATAGATAAAACTTGCGCAAAGAGCTAAAAAATGAAATGGAAAGAATGTTTCTGAAGTAAAAGAACTAGTATGGAGAGACATTCTTTAAACATTCATCGAAATTATCGGTCATATTATTTTGTTCACAGTAAAAAAAGAATTATCACAAATTCCTTGATCTAAACAAACGAAGCCCGTGAAATTGGAAACCGACCGTCCGTAGACGGCAAACTGTATATTTTTTTGAGGACTTTCATTAAGGAAAACCATTCTATTATGGACTGGTTATTCTCTCGAATTGATTCAATTGGTGTGAATCAGCGCCTAGCTACGGAGAATACATGGGAACTACAAACTGAACATAGAGCAAAATGAAGACGAAATGCCCCTGCTTTAGCGAAAGTTCCGTTGATAATAATAGGCGTAGAGAGGAGGCGAAAGCGTTTGCTCATCCCCAAATTAACTTCCGCACCCTTTGGGTTCACAGGCCATTTACTGAATTCGATCCGCGATATCTCTACGCCCTCAAAACTCCTCCGAATCTAGGTAATGGAAGCTGCCTGCTTCTTCAAATTGACAACTCCCTCGCCGTGAGTGCACCTTTCGCGCCCGTTATACCGTTGCTTCTCTCAAATTACTGCAAACAACGACTTTGCTAATTAAACTTATCGGTTACCCTGTCGCCTTTCGGATATTATCCTGAAACGGGTCCGGGACTCGCCTGGAGGAAGAAATTAGGACTTTTAGAAAAAAAATGGCGTGCCTCTTGCAGCCCTCGGTGCCTGAAACCGCCATGGCTGCTCCTGCGTTTCTTATGATTTACAAATCCTGCCAGTGGCGAGGGTGAATGATCGATTACGGAGGCTTAAAATTTTCCATAGGTTCACTGAAAAAATATTCGCGGCGTTTTTACCAAGGCCCGTTGGTACCTTAACCATTTCACTTCATTGGTAATTTTACCAAGACAAACTGATGAACTTACTCAAAAACCGGTATTTTTACTGTTTTTTTTTCAGGTAAGAATACCACATTTATTGGTAATCAATTCCCGGTAACTTTGCCATTTTATCTCGGTAATTCTACGATAGTCGATAAAAAATATTGGCGTTTTTACCAAGGTCCAGTAAAATTACCGAGAAAGTTTAATAATTTTACCGAGATTTCTCGGTAAAATTACCAATTCCATAAATGGTAATTTTACCAAGAAAAAACTGGGATCAAATAGAACCCTGAATTCTTGGTAATTTTACCCTTTTCTTAGTAAACACACCGAGATTTTTTTCAGTGTTTAAATAGGAGATTAATCGATATATCGCAAGGCACGCCACGTCACAAAATCCTACTCTGTATAAAATGGTAAGCTCAGGCAGCCGTGACGAGAAATCCTCAAGAACAGGTTCCACTCAGTAAACCTGCGTATGATAGATTCGTAAATTCACAATCCGAGATATTTACTTTTCTAGTGCAATCATTTCTTTGTTTCATCCGTCTGTAGTAGCTATGTTAATTCCAAGTGACATTATGTCCATCTTTGTCAGGTATAGGACGAATATACTAGGAACTGCAATGAGCATTAATTATTTCGTCTAGAACTTCTGTAAATTTTTACTTTTGTATAGTTAGTGACTATATTTTGTAAGGTTATCCCATCTATAAATTATTAAATTCTAATATATTTCTATAGTGAAAATATGGTGTTTTAAAATAAACTAAAAAACAAATAAATAATTAGTAATTAATATTTAATTTCCAATGTAACTTTCACTGGATATTAAATAAACATTGAGGAAAAAATGGCTGGAATAAAAAATACTGAAAGAACTGGAAGCTTTACGGGATTATTAATCTTTATTTTGGCTTTTTTCCCCGCGTTTCATTTTATTAATTTTATTAATATGCCGCTTGCAAACTACAGTTCAATATTTAAATTTGTTGTACTGTTTACTTTTGACTCATTGATGCCTATATTGATTCATAGTTTAAAAATTCTCCTCATCTATGTAGTTCTTAGAATGCTCTCATTTTTTCATGTAGTTCTCACTTCAAGAAAAGGATGTCGGGTGTAATCGACGAAAACCTGAAAGTCTTGAGTTGCCGATAGCTCGCAGATTTAGGAAAGGGATTGATACAGACGACAAATCACGTACCTAAAAAGTCTTCTTTAGTTTGGTATTGTCCAGCCAATACCCATTTTTAGTAGCCTGAATGCTGGCAAACGAAATAAAATTAATAATCAGGCGAGATAAATAAGACTCAAATGATAAAACTTTGAATGAATGTTTATTTTTAAAGGTAACTATAAATCTAGCAATTTAACAATATTTCATTTATACACTAGAGGAAAAGAACTATTGGAGTGGTTTTATTCGTATTTCAGGAAACGTAGAATGCGCGTTCGTAAAACGGATGCTTGAAACATAGTACAAATTCTACTTTTATTTTACAGTGCTTGGAAATTAATATACAGCTGAGTTATTTCGTTTCCTTCAAGCTCGCTTGCGTTGGTGTACCTTTTGACAACCTTTTCCAATCAACATTAATTTTTTCACAAAGAAATCAAAAACAATAATTTTAAAAATTACGAATAGAAAATAGTACACAGGTATGGTATTTTTATTTCATGAAAACTCTGCTTAGTGTCTAAATCCAATTTTTATTTCGCTGAACAGGATCTAGTTATTCATGAACCAAAATATTGATTGGAGAGGAGAGGGTTATAAAGATTAGCCGAAAACTGACGTAAATCCGTTTGTAAGCATTCTATTTTTGAGATGATTTCATTATCCCTTTCTTCAAAAATTAAAGGCAAACATTGCGTAGTTTTGTCACTTCAAGTTGGAAGTTTCATTCAGTCAAATATTCATCCTCATACTCCCTCTACAGTCACATTACGCATGTTTTTCTGATTTAACTGGGACGTTGCCGAGAAAAATAGAGAGTGTAACGGTGTTGTAGTTGGATAAATGGTGATCGGATAGAGTATGGTTTTTACGGAGTCCAGATAGCTACGATTGAACAAAATGGTTTAATATAACTTCACGAAATACCTAAATTTTACGAACGTGATTTATTTCTAATAGCTTCATCTTCTTCCGTGTGGAGAACAGATAAAATCACCTCAAAAATAGAAACATTTTCCCATACCTCATTCCGAACAAAACAAAATAGCCGTAACTTAGCGAGTTAACGAAGGTAATGAAGTTTACTGAAGATGCGAGTAAAAAATCGCTCTTCTTGCATTACAAGCAAAATTACTTGATAACAAATTTGCAGTCAACTCATTCTACTCACAAATAAAATGTTGTCAAAATATTAGTTTAATAATTTCTGAATGAAATGGACTCGCAGTTGACGTATTCAAGGTGTTCTACGAAATGTTTCTATGATAAAATCTCAATGAGCACAATTTGTCATCCGAGGGAAAACGACATCTAAAAGGGATTGATTGAAAAATGAACATTGAAGATTGTCACACCAACCAACGCTCAAAATTTCAGTTTGACAAGCAGCAAAACTTTTCAAATAAAAACTAAAGGCCAAAGGTAGAAGTTTATACAATTACCATTCATTATAAATAATTACCTCTCTAAAGTATAAAAATATCATTTAAAAAATCTCTAAACAAAGTAAATAAAACTTTTATACGACGATAAAAAATGAGAGATTGCATTAATAAAATAATTTACTCACAAATGTATCTGCTCAGCAATGAAGTAAAAATTTCTGACGCTCCTTAAAGTGGTAGATTTGTTTAAAATTTTGTATGATTGGATACAAAAGAAATATATCCCCGTTTCAAATCTTTCTCCGTTCTTTACTACCCTTGATCTTAATCTCAGCCTAGTTCACAAATATTAAACCTAACCCACAAATATGAATTCATCTCACTGGAGCAATCTTTTCTTCGATATTTTTTTAAATTTTAAATCAAAGTGCAGACCCAAAAACATTTCTTGAAAGATGATGTGCCAAGAAAAGTTCGTACCAAAAACTAAACTGTGTGCTTAAAATCACATTTAAAATCTCTTACTTTTGCTGTGTGAGCCGTTAATGGATCATGAAACACATCCAATTTTTATGATAAATCAAATGAAAAGCTCAATTTACCCACTTTAGGAAAGACATTTTATGAAAGTTCGGTGCGTTTTCTGTGCTGTTCACCGGTAATCCAAATTCAAAGTGCGCAAATTCTAATCCTCTCACTTTCACAAATCACCTCCCATTAACAATTCCAATAATATAAAAATATCATGTCGGTGCAAATGATCGTAAAAAACGTGTCGTGCAAAAATCAGGAAAAGCACCAACTTGTCTGAACGCGAGATGGTGAGGGTGACTGAATAAACTCCAAGGGGGTTTTGTGCGCTGGAGCTTCCTGTATGACGGCGGGCTAAGGAGCGACATAGGAATAAAAAATTGAGCTTTGGAACCTAAGGATACACAACTACCGTACCGACTCACACGTCGGTCGCTTCTTGCTCCCCCTCTCCGTTCTCCTCCGGGGTTTCGGCAAGAACGCTCTTCTGGAGCGCGGTCGGGGGGACAGCAAAAGACTTGGGTTTATCTACAACGACAGAAGAGGTGAGGATAGATTGAGCACACAGACTGCTCTGCGAGCCCGGAGCTGGTGACGCCGGTTTCGCACTCAGCGCCGAATCGGCGCTCGTCTCCGTCCACGTGGATGCGGTGGAAAGAACCGGTTTCGGCGAAGCGAGGCTGGTCGGCGGCGGGTCCGCGAATGGGGTGGGGGCGGGAACTTCGGGGAAGGGCGCGGCCGTGGCCGCAGGCAGTGAGGTCGGGTAACCCTCCAGGTTATGCCGGACGTCCGTCGGCGTGTAGAGCTCGTAGGAGGCCGCGTTGGATCTCGACAAGAACTCAGCCTCGCGAGAGTACCTGCTGACCGGGTTGGCGGCGTTGTGACGCTTGTGAGGTAGAGTGCGGTAGTAGGCGGCCGGCACGCCGGTCGCAACCGGTTTCACGCTGGTCACTCCGCCGGCGGGCGGGGTGAGGAGCTTGGGCAGGCCGAAGTCCACCGGGTACCCGTCCGTGTCCACGAACTTCCCAGGCATGAGGTGGATATCCGCCGGCGAGTACAGCTGAAGAGTCGGCGGTGTGAGCGTGCCCAAGAAGTGGAGCTGCTGGTGGAAACTGGTCGGGTTCTGCGCCGCCTCGTAGATGGCCAGGCTCCCGGAGAGGTTGGCCCGGTTGATGACGTTGCTCAAGTCGAACCCGTTCTCTATCGTCAGGGAGTGGTTCCGCGACCGAACGTTGTTGCTCACGCTTTTGGCGTCGTTGATCAAGTCCGGGTTCTGCTCGAGGATCTGGTGGTACTCCGAGCTGGCGGGGCCCACCATCGGGGAGTAGGAGACCAAGGGGTCGTTCGTCACCAGGACCGGAGCCTCGGAGGTGAAGACGGTCAGTTCCTCGGACTGCCTCTGGTCCATCACGACGCAACCGTTCATCGCTTTCAGCGACATCATCTCCGAGTTGGACTTGATCAACGGCGGCGCGCAGTCTTTTATGCTCAGGCAAGCTTTCTGCGTCAACCCGGAGTCAGCGTGGTTGTTGATGATGGTCTCCTTGTTGTACAGCTGTTTCGTTTTTCGCCTCCGCTTCCTCTGCTTGAAACACTTGATTATACAGAAAATAACAACGGTGATTGTGAGCACTAGGATGATGGATATCGTCCCGGCGATGATGATAACAAAATACTCGACGGTGACTGTCTGCGCCGCGACCATCCGCTCTTCTTTGAGCACGATCCTAATCGTGAAGTTGGATAAACTCCTACCGGCCGAGTTCTCGGCCATACAGATAAACGTACCATTATCACCCACGTTCGTGTTGAAAATAAAAAGCTCGCTTTGTTTGTCGAACGTGCCTTCCTCGATGAAGTAGTACAGATGCAGGCCCGGCTCCAACACCGAGTCGTTCTGCAGAACGTTACCCTGGAAGAGCCACGAAACCCTAGCCTGCGGCATGGCGCTCACCTCACACCTCAGAGAAATATTCTGTCCCTCCGAGATGATGAGCTCTACCGCGGTTGGCTCGATATCCGGCAAACAGGCCAAGTCATCCCTTTTGACGTTCTTCAAAGGGATGCCTCTCAGCCTGGAAGGCTTGGTGCATACCGGGTCGACAGCCTGAGGTGTCCTCGTCTTGTTGAGCCAATCGTGCAGCCCGATGATCCTACAGTCACAATCCCACGGGTTGTTCTCGAGAGTGATACCGCTCAAGGATTGCGGCAGGGTCGTGGCTCCTGGCAACGACGTCAACCGATTACTATCCAGTTTCAGCCACTCTATACTCGAGAGACCATTGAACGCGTTCTCCTCGATCTTGTCGATCTTACACCGGTTCAGGTCGAGGTTCGTCAAGAAGGAGAGCTGGTGGAACGCGCCGGCCTTGATCTCTTGGATATTGTTCCCGTGTAAGGAAAGTTTCATCAAGGACGGGAAGTCGCTGAAGGCCTCGGAGGGCACGGCCATGAGGTCGTTGTTGGAGAGGTCCAGCTCGACGAGGTTGGTGAGCCCGCGGAAGGCCTTGTCGTCGATGTGCGAGATGCGGCAGCGCGAGAGGAAGATCTTCTGGAGGTTGACGAGCTCGAGCCGGCGGAACTTCTCGCGGACGAGGGAGCGGACGTTGTTCCCGCTGAAGTCGAGGACCTGCGTGCCGGACTCGATGCCGTCCGGTATGGTGGTCATGCTCTTGTTGACGCACTCCACCGTTTGCTTGCCGCCTTTCCATTTGCAGGTGCACAGGCTCGGGCACGCGGTGCACAGACTAACGAACGTTAGCGCAAGCAGCGGCACCGGCCACAACATAGTTCATTCGCACTGCGAGGGGAGCGCTGCAAGATCGGGTCGTTTTCGGTACCGCCGTCGGTCGCCGCTCATCGTGGCAGGATCCTTCGTCCAAGTACAGCGGAAAAATATTTCCCCTCTTCTTCACCCGTCTTCCATCGCACGTATCACTTTCTTCGTACTCTCGTTATCATGGTTTCGTATCTTAAAAAGTAATCTTTAACCCTTCAAAAACCAGATTTGAAATGTTGAGACTAGATAGACAAATTTGGAACTAAAAATTATTCATCAACTTATACATTGTTTAGTTAAATAGTATGGTACACCTGACAGGCGCCCATTGAGTTCAATAGACAATTACTATTCTTAAAATTACACCTTAAAATTAACTTTGATGAGATCAGATGAATAGGAGACCAGTTTGTGCAGCATTTGTGAAGATATTTTGCCTGTTGCACAGCTTTGTTATTCCTGTGTGAGAAGAATGAAGAAACACGGTCCTCTGGATTTCTTCGACTTGACTCTCATGAATGTGAAACCTGCGCCTGTGACCTATGAACAGACCAAAACTTAATTTTAGAATGACAATCCAAATACTTGGGATAAAATTGTCAACGATTAAAGTATTTTCATTAGTTAATTGAGGATAAAACTCACTCCTTTTTTCTTCTTTCAAATCCATAAATCCGTTTTTATTATTTTTTTTCTCATGTATCCATATACTACAATATTTATTTTTGAAATAGTAACATTCTTTCATCTCTTTCTTCATTTTTACTTTCCATTTTTTACCACCATCTTAACGAGAAACTTGTTTTATAGTCGGTCTAATCAATTGAATTAAGACTTTAAGCCAAAATAGAGAGAGTTAAGGTACTTAAAATTTAGAAATTGAAAGATTACGCGAAAGACCCTTTGAAAGCCAAAGGTAATGGAAATAGAGGCGAGCAGAAAAAGAAGAAGCTTAGTTCGTTCGTTCTTAGTTCTTAGTTAGTTCGTTTTGCATTATTTAAAGGTGCTCTAAGGAAACATAGTAAATACAACCATAGAAAAGAGAGATCAACCAAGAAGTGGAAAAAAGAAAAAAAAGAAAGAAGATATGCATTTAATGTTGAAAATAAGACAATATAAAAAGAGAGAGAGACAGGAAGAACGTGAATATCAGGGGAGAAAAACAGCGATGAAAGAAGATAGCAAAGGAGACGAGAGCCGCATGAGAGCAATGCTATAGATGCAGGAAGGTTACAAGTTGTGTCAACAACAGAAAGACCAAAATAGCGCCGTCAATTTAGAGGTATTAACTTTTCCAAGCGACGGCATAGATATTAATCTCAATGAGCCGTGGTTGTGTAGAAAGAAACAATACAAAATTGAATAAAAACGGGAGAAAAAACAAGAACCTCGCAATCTTTGGTTCTAAATCATTTGTACACCGATCTTTTAGCGTCAAATAAGTCCAATTTTGAGCATTTGGTTAAGCATAGAGGACACTGCAGCACAGTAAATGCACAAAGTATGAAAGAAAAAATTAAAGCGCTTTGAAAATAATTATATTTGACAAGGAACCGCCCTAATCTTTACAAACCACACTTTTTATTTTCCTCTAATAAATATTTTTTTCATCAATTTAAATGACAATAATGCATGCAGAGTGTGTAAACATTTCAAAATCTTGAGTTGAAAAACGCTGACTCCGCGAGTTTAAATATAGGAGCGACGTGACAGCAGCTCGAAGCGCGTACCGGCGCCTACAAACCTAAGTGAATACTTCACGCACTGCGCAACGCTTGAAGTATCAACTTAGGTTTGTAGGGGGCGATGCGCTTCCCTTTGCGCGCTGGCCGGCCGCCCGCCACGGCGCAGCGAGGCACGGCGGGCGGTTGGCCAGCAACTAGCCACAACAACTCAAGTATACATTTCACAACAGAGGAGGTATCATATGAAAGTGTAAGCGTTCCAATATATTTAGAATGACAAGCATCCTTTCTTTAAGAATACGGAGCTTTCCTCGCAAAATAAATCTAGATACTACGGCACAAAAAGAAAGCGTCAGTCCAAAAACTCAATCAGTCCAAAGATGCATATTTCATAACGTTTAGCATAATTTTTGAATCTCATTAGAGAAAAAAAAAGTGGCTTGATCTAGGCAGAGAAATTCTTGAGTACGTCGTCAAGAAGATTATATTTTGAATCAAGAATACACGAAAAAAATGGATTACTGATTTAACAATTAAAGTGCTACACAATATGTCCGACATGTTTCAAATGTACATTTTACAACAGAGGAAAGTTAATCAAATACGAAGGTGGTTGAATTAACATTTTTTTAAATTAAAATCTACATTGAAACAATTCGAACACTCTGTTTAACTACAACATTGTTAAATCAGCAAAAGCTAAGCTAGCAATAAGCTTGGGTCTATTTCCTTTGACGTATCATTAATGTGATAATATGAAAACAAAACGATTTTAATACATGAAACAGACGATACTATAGGTGAAATTGGTTAAGTGCAAAAATTATGAATGGGAAACATATACGATTTGGTATGAATTGGAAACTCTTCGATATTTCTCCGAATATTTTGGATATTGAAATTCAACGGTCATGACTGTTCTAATCGGAAAATTAATCTCAAATATTACTGATATTTTTGCTCAAGCGGCTACTTAGAGGCATTTGTACTTAACACGCTTGGATGATTAAAACTAGAGAAGTACATGTGTTAGATTTGGCTCTCAAAATGTTGATCTAGTTTTGTTTGGATGAAAATGGAACTTAGCGCGCTATGTCAATGTATATTCGGTTTAATTTAAAGTTGAACTTCTTTTTATCGGGCTGCATTATGTTGGATGAAATTACCTCTCTCCCGATCACTTTTTATCCGGTTTTTAGACGATAGCTATTTCGATGTTAATCATCATCATCAGGTCACTTTGACTTCGATTTGGTAAACACTAACAGTCACATCTTATATTATTAAAATTTACTAAAATTTACTAAAAAACACTTTTAAAAATACTCGTGGGTGCACCCGTCGCCGCGAACGCGTTCTTATNAACGCGTTCGCGGCGACGGGTGCACCCACGAGTACTTTTAAAAGTGTTTTTTAGTAAAGTTTAGTAAATTTTAATAATATAAGATGTGACTATTAGTGTTTACCAAATCGAAGTCGAAGTGACCTGATGATGATGATTAACATCGAAATAGCTATCCTCTAAAAACCGGATAAAAAGTGATCGGGAGAAAGGTAATTTCATCCAACATGTAATCGGTTTGTTTTCGCAGAGACTGCCTCAGTAACGTTTAGTGTGTAATTTGACACACGTAGACCATTGCGTTTTCATGAGCGGAAGGTTTGAATTCACGAGTCAAGAAACATTAAATCTCTTAGTTAGGAGTTGATTTGAGCGATTTTTGTTGCATTAATCGTGTTTTACGTGAAATTTAGGTTAAGTGACATGTATCAAAATGCTTGACTTCGCACCTTCTCTAGTGGTCCAGTGTCTTGCGTTCAGAGTGATCAAATAGAGATGTTGCATGTGTGAGGAATTTGCGATTTGATTAATGATTCTTAAGTAAAAGTTCGTGAGAAACACGATGGTGCCACTGGTTTTCTGTGAAATCAACTCCCAAGCTCAAAAAAAGCTATCAAGTTAAGGCCAAAATGGAGGGGATATCCCACGCTATCCTGAAAGCCCACCTCTACATCAAGACAAACTCTCCATGCAAAGATAGGGAACAAATACATTAGCAGTGATACCGTGTTTTCAGTTTTCGAGTCCCCAAATAAAGTGGCAGCCCTGTCAATGTATTTGCTCCCTATCTTTGCATGGAGAGTTTGTCTTGATGTAGATGTGGACTCTCAGGATGGCGTGGGATATCCCCTCTGTTTTGGCCTCAACTTGAGAGCTTTTTTTGAGCTTGGGAGTTGATTTCAGAGAAAACTAGTGGCACCATCTTGTTTCTCGCGAACTTCAACGTAAGAATCAACAGTCAAATCGCAAATCCCTCACACATACAACATCTCCATTGTTAGAGCTTGGAGAAAAAATGAGAGAAGAAAAACGAAGTACAACGAGATGAGATATTATTTTAAGCACGGAAGCTCTCCTACCAGGTGGAGGGATCGACGGGTTGGAAACAAGTATGGAAATTAGTATGAGAAAGTTAAGATCAAAGCTGAGCCCTTTCTCTGCTTCATGCCTTGCACTGATGCCCACTACCCGGAAAAAAAGTTAGGACCAGCATAAGTAGATGCAGGCAAAACATCGGTCTTGAAACACTTTTTATTACGTTCCTCACTTTGAAGTAATGCGAGAAGTTTATTTTGAAATTCTGCTCAAACTTAGCTTTACGAGTGCTCCATGGTGAATTATGATTGTTCTGAGAATTTTGAGCTCTTGCCACCACGTCCTATCAAGTCTGCCGTGCTAAGGAAGAACGCCGTATGAACCTTCAGGCGTTGACAAATTTGCCTTGATAAACCACGAATTTCCTGGTAAATTTATGAATATTCTCCCTCCAATTTCCAGATAATTTTGCTCGTAATTTCACCTAAAGTCCATGAAAATTTCAAGGAAAAATATTCATAACTTTCCTCAAAAATAAACATTTGACCGCAGGAAATTTGGCAACTTTCGAATGATCATAGCGTTCTTATTCCTTAGCACGGCAGGAGTGCTCTTTTCTCTCTTTTCAACCGCTGGCACTATCAGTCTACTCGCCCAGACGGTGGAATGAGACCTCGAACTGAAAGATCAAATGTTCCTAGCTTTCTTCATTTTTCGTCACTGATAATTTTTATATAACCTGTGAATGAGCTCTGTATTATACAACTCCTTATATTATTTAAAACACAAACACAAATCTTGATGATTTTTTTCAAATTTGCAAGTTTCTAATTTTCCAAAAAATATTCTGTAAAATACACCGAAAAAATAGTTCTGTTCCTAGGGCTCCTGCACTTTCTTTACGCTACAGAGGTGTCAGTTATGGGGACAGAGTACTCTGTGCTCACCACCAAAGTTCTGTTCTCACAACAGAAAAGTTTTGTAAGTATAACAAAGAGAGTGCAGGAAGAGCCCTGCGCACAGAAGGTTCTGTTATCACCGTCCACTGTTCGTTTTGCGTGTAGTGCCGTTAATCGAGGAGCTCAGTTCTACTTCTGCGATTTTGAAAAATAAAGGAGGGACAAGGAACGTCTCATAATTTCTTAACTTGCGGATATATTGCTGCTTTATGATTTTGAGAATGTTTAGGCAATTCTAGCACTCGAGAAAATAATTTTAGTTTAAATATAATGGAATGATATTGTATCTAGTGTATATGCTTACGTTTGCATTGAAATTTGCCTTATTCTGTGATAATAGAGCTACTTTTGTACTCATCGGCAACAATCTGCAACAAAAATGAGAGAAAACTTCATTAAAAGAAGGAAACAATTTTTTAACCCAAAATTACTAGAAAGGTTCTCTATAACATGGTAGAGTTGTTCAAATGGTGCATTTATTTCCCTCTCTGGTAAAATTACGATGAATTGAAACATGTATACATGCTCAATTGCAAACATTGACTGTGTACCATCGGGAATAAAAAGGAAACAAGGTATATGTCGCAGGCAATTGGCAATCGCCGGCATTTCCAAGCCGTGGTGGATAAATATAGAAAATCATAAAATTTAAAAATAAAAGAACAAGATTAAAGTCCTGATTGTGTTGCCTATGAAGTGAATAGACACTTTTCCACCCTTAAAAGCATGGCAGGAATATATGCACACTCAGAAGAGCGCGTGTAGCCAACTCTGTGACATTAGTTGGGTTGAGATCGGACAGGCAACTAAACTAACATCGTGACAAAGCGTAGAGTATCACAAAAAATGTAGGCACTTCAAGCCGAGCTCATACTTTTGAAGATCATAACCCTTAAAAATTGCATTATGCCGATGCGCATTATTGCGATTTATTGAAACAACGTGTGTGCCGCTTGCGAATTGCCGGCGACATATATTAGTTACTGGAACAACGGAGATGTTGCATGTGCGAGGAATTTGCGATTTGATCATTGATTCTTATGTGAAAGTTCGCGAGAAACACGATGGTGCCACTGGTTTTCTCTGAAATCATCTCCCAAGCTCAAAAAAGGCTCTCAAAGTGAGGCCAAAATGGTGGGGATATCCCACCCTACCCTGCGAGTCCACCTCTACATCAAAACAAACTCTCCATGCAAAGATAGGGAGCAAATACATTAGCAGGGTTGCCGCTTTCAGTTTTGGAGTCCCCCAAATAAAGTGGCAACCCTGCTAATGTATTTGCTCCCTATATTTGCATGGAGGGTTTGTTTTGAAGTAGAGGTGGACTCTCAGGATATCCCCTCCATTTTGGCCTCACTTTGAGAGCTTTTTTTGAGCTTGGGAGATGATTTTAGAGAAAACCAGTGGCACCATCGTGTTTTTCGCGAACTTTTACATAAGAATCAACAGTCAAATCGTAAATTCCTCACACATGCAACATCTCCATGGTTTACGTGACTTTTCATTATCCCACCTAGTTTTCAAGGGTCACAAGAAATCGGTTCGTCTGCGAGCACCGGGTTGTTTTTATCAATTTTCAGCCACCGATATGAAAACAAGTATGTGACGCGGTGATCCAACGAGCATCGACTACAAATCGCACGGATCCCGGTCGACACGTGTGCGGATCAGCCGGTGGCTCACGGCGGGAAGCAATTCATCTGAGGCGAGCGACAACCTATCTGGGCATTTAATACGTCAGTCACCAAGGCGCTGCGTCAGTTATTCATCAACCGAAGACGCGACCAAGACACGGATACGAGTAAGGAGCGCCGAGGGTGTGCGGAGAGCGGGGCCCGGCAATACTGAGGGAGTGCACTATGAGAGGTTAGAATAGTGAGTGGAACGGGAAGACAGTTGCTAATCCATCTTTGGGGTGATTAATCACTCCCCGTACTCCACGCTAGTTGCTGGCAACCGGTACACTATGCGTGCCAAGGAAAAACGCCGTATGAGCCTTCAGACGTTGCCAAGTTTCTGTCGATAAAAACCAAAATTACCGGAAAATTTCTGAATATTTTTTTCCGAAATTGTCAGGCAATTTTGTACGCAATTTGATCTAAAATATCTCTGAAAATGTCAAGGAAAAATGTGCATGAGTGTCGTGAAAAATAAATACTTTATCGAGGGAAATTTGGCAACTCTCGAATGTTCATGCGGCTTTCTCCCTTAGCACGGTAGCACTATTCGTGCGGCTTTGACTCCACGGGTGCAAAAGTCGACCCCGCTGCCTATCTGACCGGCGCCTTATCGGCAGACTGAGTTTCAGACCAAAACTCAACGTTTTCCCAACTAGAGTACCTTTATAGACAGAGTATGGCCATTTTTGTGCCGGTTTTTCATTGGTTGCGTGAAAATAGGCTGATACGATGTTTTTACGACCGTAAATAAACAAACAAGATGGCTGTTATCTGGAAGCAAGTTTAAGGCTATGCACATCTTACATCCTCCGGTGATAAAGGCGAAAGGCGATTTAACAGTGTGTTCATGTGTTTTTTATGTGTTATTCGTAGATATGCTAATTTAAATTGTTACTGCTGTGTAATTGGACGTATTTCTATCAAACGGACCTAAGCGCCATAGGGTGAGAAAGGTAAAGGGGGGCTTGGATTGGCGGCGGAATCGGGCGTCCGGCTTATTCCATCCTATACTCGCAATGCTTTTCCATGGCGCTTAGGTCCGTTTGACAGAACGCGCTTTCCGGGATTCTAAATTCCTCAAAAGGAACTCAAATTGGCGCTTACTTCCGTTTGATAGAAATACGTCCAATTGAAATTTTTGTCAAATTTTATAGCTTCCTATCAAATGTCACGGTGAGCCGCCATCTTGTTTGTTTATTTACAACCGTAAGAGCATTATGAAGCCTTAAAACTTGTCGACCAATCAAAAAGCGGCACAGTTTTCCTGTAGTGAAAAGATACGAATGGCCATACTCTGTCTATAAAGATACTCTATCCCTAACGAAAGAACGTTACTACATTTCAAATGTTACCAAATTTCCCTCGCAAATTGCATTTTTACCAAGAAAATCTCGGGCGTATACGATTGAAAATTAGCCAATACGGCAATTTCTTTTTTACTCGTTATCGGAGCACTCAGGCTGCAAAAACGGGTTCTTATAGACGAAATCACAATGAGCGAGGGCACAGGACGTGAAACACTCAGAGGTGAGGCAGAGGCAGCTCCGAGAGGAGGCTGACAAAAGGACGTAACTAAACTTGGAGATGAGGCCGGGAAATCATTGAGTTATATGAGGGACAGAGTTCATCTCGAAGTGTAGTCATGCCCTCATGTAAGGAGGGTGAGGGTTTGTCGTGCGGTGAGAGCGGGACGCCAGGATGCGAGTCGCTGCATACGAGTAAGCCTCTTATTAGTGTTGCGCATTGTCAATGAGTGAATAAGCCACCTTCTTCACCCGCTCAACGTCTCGAGTCCTTCTTTTGAGGGCTTTTCGCCTATCCAATTGAGTGCCATCCAGACTTCACTCACCGAGTCAATGTTATGATTAATCAACGTACCTCGTTGTCAGACTCAGTCGGAACAAAAATTAGGGCCGTATTCATATCCGTTATTTTCCTCGGGCTGCCTTAGACTAATTTAGGAGCCGTCCCAAAATTACGTTACCAGAAAAAAACACAAAAACCACTAAGAAATTGCCCAAACTGTATGTAACAGGGTGGTGAAATGGTGCTGCAGAGCCCACACCATTTCGCGCGGAAAAAAACCAAAAGCCAAAGCGGGCTCTCAAAATTAGAAATACCATTTTCTCAATTCACTATGCCGTTAATGCGGTGCATAATGACCAATAAATGGATGTATATTCCGGAAAGAAACTACGTGCAAATGAATACAATCAAAACGAACTATAAAACAAGTAAGCTCGATGCACATAATTCCTTACGATTTCATCATGTTTCAAATAGTTTCTTTTAGCATAAATAAGTCCAAATGAAAAACCCTCACTCAACTATAAATCTGTACATTCTTTCCAACGCAATCAATTCAAATACCAAAGAATGCGTCATGCATTGCATTTCCTTCCCGGGAATATATTCGTAAGTGACCTCAATGCTACCGTTTTTAACGAAGAACGCCGTACATACATTCATATGTTGCCAAATTTATTTTGATAAAATTGGATGATGAATTAAAACATAATTTTTTTTTTTTTTTTTAAGGAATTTTATTTAAACATAACGTAACCACGTATTTCCTTGTATTTATCTACATGGTTTAAAACTAAAACCGAACGAATTGCATTAAATTTACGGGGTAACGTTAAGTAATACGATGATTATCTAAACATGATTAGACGGTGATATTGATGATTTATGAATGTGCAGGGAAGATTGAGAATATGTTTCTTTCGATTTGTAGATACGTAAATTTTGCTGTGTTATCCAAAAGCATCTGGAAATGACACGACTATTTTCAAAAATAAACATTCGATCGCGGGTTAATGGAATCAGTGAGAACGAAAACACACCAACTTGGTAACTCGAAAATCCTCAATTTTCATACAGGTCATTGAAGTTACCCTGGTAAAAATTGGCGATACGAGCTGCGTTTCAAAATACAATAGGAGTTTTTATAGCCGACTAAAGAGGGCTATTGAAAATCATATAGCTGGCTGGAGAAAGCGGAGCAAATCATACAGGAATGACAGGTATCCTTCAAAAGTACGGAGCTTTCCTCGCAAAATAAATCAAGATACTACGGCACAAAAAGAGAGCGGTAGTCCAAAAACTAACTAAGTCCTAGTATCCGTATTTAGTGACGTTTAGCATAAACTTTATCGTCTGGTTGTTGCTCAATCGCCATCGGTTATGAAAGGCTATAAGAAATTGTATAGCCGGCTACAGATGCTATTGGAAATATTACAGCCGGCTTTAGGTCTATAGTATTTTGTAACACACATTCTACTGCCAATTTTCACCAGGGTTAGCGAATCTGTTCCAACTTCGACCTTTAAAAGTGTCCTTAAGTATTTTCCTTTCGGCACCAAAAATATTCTTCTTGGACTTACTTCTTGACCTACTGTGCAGTTTTGTGTGTGTCCTCATTATTTTCATTTTTCCGAGTTGGTGTGTTTTCGTTCTCACTGATTCAATTGACAACGTTAACACACCGTTAAAATAACGTTATTTCGGACACGACGTTTTTACTCAGCGCAGCAGGGGAACGGAATGGAATGTGTAATATTTTTCCGCTGCTCGATTCCCTCCGATTAGCGCGCCGCGAGATCAATTCATACCTGTAACTCCCCGGATTTCGCTTCATTTCCCGACCCCCAACCCCCCCCCACCCTTGGCGAGACCGCGAATAAATA